AAAACAGGATGAAAACACACTGAAGGCGCATTATAATTAAAAGTGGTGAAAACCTTCATGGGGGAAAAGGTATTTTGATGGCAGCCAAAAAAAAAAGAAACATTAACTTACAGAGTAGTGAAGAATGACAAGCAGACAGATCATCAAAAATTATGGCAAAGCCAGAAGACCAATGAGCTCCATCTTAAAGTGATGTATAAGAAAAACAAAAAACAACAAAACCCCAAACTTGTAATTCCAGGAATCCTATATCAACAAAAAATATTTATTTCCAAAACTTGAAAGTAAAAAACTTTTTCAGGAAAAAAAAACAGGCTGAGCCCTTACTGTCAGCAGAACTATACTATTGAGAAATGTCATAGGAAGTTCTTCAGGTAGAAGGCATATGCTACTGAAACAAGATGGAAGTTTGGATCTTGCACCAATAAATGAAATATCCTTGGAAATATAAAATACTTCTATTTTAATCTCTCAGATTGAAACTAAGTGAGCCCTGACTGAAGAAAAACTTGTAAACCAAGTCACTTGTCATACGATAGGTAGAAAGTAACAATCTATGACCCATGCGATGACAGCCAGGATAAGGAAGAAAAATAACATCCAGTACTACGTGTAAGAATATGACTACTTCATGAAGTGGAATCATGTACTTGACGGAGACTGTGATGAAATAAGCGCTGTTACTTTAAACCTAGCACGAAACACTAAACAAGAAAAAGCTGTTGCTAATATGGAGATAAAATGCAGTCATAAATCATGCTCAATAGAAAAATATGCAGAATTGACTCTGAGCCTTTTGGCTAATCAACTGTAACAGGAGGCACGCCCCGAAAAAGAGACATACAAGGAAAGACGAACAGTGGAGACAAATAGAGAATAATTAGCCAAGATGCGGTGAATTTCAACCAATTCGTATCAATAATAGCCACTATAGGAGACATGTTTTCAACTTAAAACCTCCAATTAAAGGCCAGAAGTCGTTAATTGGATTTGGTTTTAAAAAGCAAACGGTATCTCCGAGGCGGGCGGATTGCTTCGAGGTCAGGAGTTCGAAACAGGCCCGCCATGGAGCTGGAAGAGCGAGACCCCATCTCTACGTACTAATTAGAAAGAAACTAATTGGCCAACTATATACATTACCGAAAAATTAGCGGGCAGGTGGCGCATGCCTGTAGTCTCCAGCATCTCGGAGGCTGGAGCAGAAGGATTGCTTAGCCCAGGGAGTTTGAGGTTGCTGTGAGCTAGGCTGACGCCACGGCCACTCACTCTAGCCTGGGCAACAAGTGAGACTCCTGTCTCAAAAAAAAAAAAAAAAGCAAAGTATCTAAATAAACCTTAAAACAAAATTCGGCACCAGACTTGGCAAACTATACTACAGGGATATAGGCATTAAAACAGCTTTTTACTGCAAATAGAACAGGGACATTGACCAGTGGACAGCGAACAGAGAACTCAGATATTAAAACCATCCTCAGTATAGCCAACTAATCTTCGGACAACATGCAGACAAAGAATACCCTGGGTGAAGAATCTTATCATAGAATGGTGCTGGATACACTGCATACCACATGTAGAAGCTGAAACAAGACAACCCATTCCCCTCTCACAAAAATCACTCATATACTAGCGCACGACACTGAACTTAGGTGTGAACTCTAGAATTCGTAGAGGAACAATGTGGAAATACTCTTCTAGACATTGGCCTAGCAGAAGAATTATGAAGAGACCCAAAGGCAACTCACAACAGCAACAAAAATAAACAAATGGTACCTAATGAAATTAAAAGCTGTCTACGCAGCCAAGAAACTGTCAAGAGAGCAAACAGACAACCCACAGAATGGGAGAAAATTTTGCAAGCTACACATGTGATAAAGGGCTGAAAACCAGAATCTATTTAGAACTCAGTAAATCCAGCAAGAAAAAAATCAAACAACCCTATCAAATCGGCAAAGGAATACAGGAACGTCTCTCAAAAGGAAGACAGAATAATGGCCAACATGCATATGAAAAAATGTTCAACATCTCTAATCATCAGGAAATGCAAATCAAAACTGCAATGAGATATCACTTAACTCCAGTGAGAAAGGCTTTATCAAAAAGTTCCAAACATCAATGCTGGCATGGATGCAGAGAGAGAGTAACACTCCTACACTGCTGGTGGGACTGAAAACTAGTTCAACCTCTGTGGAAAGCAATATGGAGATACCTCAAAATGATACAAGTAGATCACCATTTGATCCAGCATTCACTACTGGCATCTACCCAAAAGATCAAAAGGTCACTTTATGAAAAAGACACCTGCACTTGAATGTTTTATAGCACACAATTCACAATTGCAAGCTGTAGAAACAACCCAAGTGCCCATCAATTCATGAGTGAGATTAATAAAATGTGGTATATATATTATACCATGGGAATACTACTCAGCTTTAAGAAACAATGTGATGTAGCACTCTTGTATATTCCTGGATACAGCTGGAACCCATTCTACTAAGTGAATATCTCAAGAATGGAAAAACCAGCACCACACGTACTCACCAGCAAATTGGATTAACGGATCAACAAACCTAAGTGAACATATAGGAGTACACATTTATCGGGTGTGTGGAATGGCTGGAAGAGGGAGGGGGGAGGAGGGGATGGGTATATACAAACACAACGAGTAAGATGTGAAACGTTTGGGGGATGGACATGCTTGAAGCTCTTACTCAAGGGGGGAGGGGGGCATGTGCAAGATAAGTAACCTTAACATTTGTACCCCCATAATACGCTAAAATTTTTAAAAATGTAAAAAAAACATAATTGGCTAAAAGTAAAAGAATTAAATATCATGTAAGCACTAATCAAAAGAAAACTGGAGTTTCTTTATTAATATTAGACATAGCTGACTTCAAGACAAGGGCCATTAGGAGAAAGGACATTGTGTCATGATGAAGAGGTCAGTTTATCAAGAAGACATAGCAGTTCTAACCTTTCATGCACCTGTAAAGAGCGCTTTGGGATGCATAAAGCAAAAATGATACATTTAAAGGAGAAATAGAAAGTTTCTACAATTATTGCAGGAGATACCAACACTGCTCTCTTAGGAATCACTAAAACAAAGAGACAAAGATTCTATAAGGACAGAGAAGAACTGAACGACAATCTAACTGGCATTTATACAAACTCAACAACAGAACACACATTTACCCTCAGGTCACTCAATAGTAAATGGCAGAGCTGGGACTTCAAAATCACAAAATTGAACATGAACAGAATTCCACTGAAAAAGGGAAATTATACATGGGAACCCAGGGCTGAGTGGCAGACTTCATAAGCACCAGCTCAGACTTCCTGGTTCCTGCTCCTTCTATTAATACTTGGCAGCCTTTCCCTAAAGCACATGGGGGAGGGGGATTCCCTATTATTAGTTAACAAAAGAAGAAAGAAGAAACCCCTAAATTACAGTGAATCTGCAGAGTGTGCTGAGACCATCCTCACTCAAGGTGGTACTTACTATGATGGAAGAAAATATTTTCTGCGAGTAGAACTTTGGTTGGTTTTTTGGCTGTCTGCTTTATATAGAATGAGACACATCCTGAAGTGTGGCTCTATATTATCTCATGTGCAATTGCTAATGGAATGAAAGGCAGGTTGGGTACTTAGAAAGAAAAAGATCTGGAGTTAGGGATGGAGGATCTAGAAAAGGGTTTATGAATAAAGCTCTTTCATGTCAGACAGAATGTGAAGACAATCGTGGCCTGTAGAAATCCACACCAGTGAGTATCCAGCGTGCAAGTGTCTCTGTAATCAGGTGGACAAGATCGTCCACCTGTAGACTCCAGGCAGCCTCTTTCCCGAGTCACTCAAGGGCTTACCACACAAAGTAGCCACTGCAGTAGGACAGTGACCGTGCATGGACTCAACCACATGGACCTGCCTTTGCCAACACACAGTTGGTTATCGCCACCGCTCTGTGCCCAACCCTAGCAGCACAGATTAATGCTGAGCTTTTGACGTGAGACCAGCCAGTTACCTGGTGACAGATAAATTATGGCAAATTCTTTCCAACATGGAGGGGCTGCAGTGTGTTTCCCAGAAATAGACACATATTCAGGTTTGTCTTTCCTGCCTGCAGCATTTCTCATGCCACCACCATTAGTGGTCTTACAGAGTGTCGTATCCATTGCTATAGTA